CCGTGATGAAACGCTTGTTGATGAACTTCGTAGTGGCTCCGCTGTCCACCATTGCAACTATATCTTTGTGCTGTCTTTCTCCTTGAAGTCATACTGGGATGTGAAAATGTTGGGACCCCTGGTCCAATTCGTACACCATCGCAGTAGACAATACGTTATACTTATTACACGATATACTCGGCCTGACGCGTGCGGCACAAAGCGCGGACCGGATCAAAAACCCTCCTCCTTCATCGCCCGATAGTGCTCGAGCTCCTCACGCATCGACTTCACCTGTGCCATTAAGTCCGCCAGCTCCGATTGCTCGGATTTCGCTGAAGCGGCACTTATACTTGCCGAGGGTGTTGTCGTGACGGGGGCGCTTGTCGCAGCCTGGGTGGAGCCCGAGGCAACCGTAGCCCGCGCGTCGGCGCATTTCGTGTAAGGTTTGTCCTTACAGTTGGGGCACTCGAAGCGTCGGTATCCTTGCTTCCCACGGCCGAAGCATGTGCCGGGGAAGTTGCCTTTTCCGACGGCCGCGTTGAGGCTGGCCGAAGCTGCGTGTGACTGGGGTGCACCACCACGTGCCCCACCGCGTCCTCGACCTCGGGCCGAGAAGAAGTTATTTAGTTCGGGCCGATGGGCCCGGCTGATGTCGAGGATCTGCTCGATCTCAGTGGCGCGCTTCTCAGCTGCTTGCCACATGGTGAAGGTCTCGAGCTCGATCTTTCGGTACATGCGGGAGGGGATGCCGCTCAGGTACTTGTCGCGTAGTTCCAAGTCCCCATACCCAGAGCGATCCGCCGGACCCTTGAACAGCGCGGAGAACTCCGCGGCGGTGCGTTTTTCACGGACTGACTTGTCCGCGCAAAGCTTCGCCAGCTCTACTTGTGCTGCCGCCTCGTCATCGAGATTTCCGAAGCGGGCCCTGAAGGCGGCGGCAAAGGCTGCTTCGTTCGCGAACGGGGTTGTGGCCCCTTGCACACCCACCTGCACCGATGCGATCTGGGCAAAGTAGGGAGTGGCCCAGGCGCGGGCATCCCCATCGAGCAGGCTGAGTGCGACCTGGACCTTAAGCTCGATGGTGGTCAACGACGTGTTGACCAGCCAGTAGATGCACAGCTGCGACAGGAACCGGTTGCACTCGATAACGGTTTTGCCATCGTATCGGAGTGGGAGGAGGAGCTTCAACGTCTCCTTGTCGGGGACGGCTGCGGGGGATGACATTATCGGCGTTGGGGGGGACGGAGGACGTTGCGGGGGCGGAGGCGGCTGTGGTGGCCTTCCGCCGGTCGAACTTCGAGAGGAGCGAGTGCTTGAGCGGCCTCTCGGCGGAGTCGGCGGTGAAGGCGCCGGAGAAAGTTCGGTGGGGGGGTCACGTACGTCAGGGACTGCTGACGCGGGGGCGAGCGCTGTCAGCGAGGCGGGCCGAGCAGGATCCACGGACTCGGACTCCGAGACTCCTTCTTCACTCACACTCTCCTCAGGCTCAGGCTCTGGCGCAGGGTCTGGAGGGAGATCTCCTCGCGCTTGACCTGGATCAGCGACGACAGTTTGAGGGAGACGGGAGCTGGGGGAGACAGGGCGAGAATGCCGCGAGGCAGATCGAGACGCGAGGGTGCTGCGGGGACCGAGGGGGTGTTGAGCCCGTCGGATTGCTTTGTAGCGAGGGTAATCCTCCTCGATCGATCGGGGTGTCCGATTGGGGCACGGCTGCTGCTCGCAACGATAGAGGATAGTCTCAGGGCCGTCTGGAATATAGACGTCGATGAGGTCCTGAGAGTCGAATGCGTGGATCTGGCCTTGGCAGGCAGCCACGATGGATGGGGGGAGGACGGGGAGGTGCGCGTACTACAATGGCCGTGCTACACTAGCTTATGCTACGGCGCCCGAGAAGACACTAGGGTTCGCAGTTCACGTGGGGCCCAGTACTGCTTTTGACTATTATGCAGCAGGAACCTAGTCCACGCGTCCATGAGGACAAATACCGCCCACTGAAGTGCAGGTATTGAAGAGTTCGTTCCCTGAGTGTTGGCGATGTATGTATGCTATCTACGTATCGTAATGTACCGTAGGGGTGCGCACCACCCGACCTATGGGAAAGGAAAGTGTGAGTGTGTGGGTTCCGAGAGAGAACGCCGGTTGCTTGGGGAGTTTCGACCTAATGTCGTGACTTGAGGTCAAGCGACAGGGGAATACCTGAAAGCAAGGGGTGTTCGACTGGTTCTCACCAAAGCAATGGTGAGTGAGGCTCAAACCTAAGGCTAGGGACAAGAAATATATTGGTTAGTACAGGTAAGTAAAGGATACAAAGGAGCTTACTGACCTAGGGACAAGAGGTCGAAACTGAGGTCCCTAGGGCAGCAGAGGCCGGCTTATATACATGGGGAGATAAGGGCAGGCTGTGCGCGTTGGTCCGTGCGCAGCTGGTCCGTGCGCAGCATGCCGACACGGCCCCGGGGGCCGGTGAGTCAGAGCGGCTGTGTCAGCAGAGCCCGAGCTGTGCCGTGCACTGCCGTCCTATCTAATCTAATCATACAGTAGATAACGACGTGTCCATATCAGGCAAGTAGTACAGAGGTCGCGGGTTCGAGCCCGCGAAAAGGAAAAATTAAAAAACAGCTAGACGCCGTATCAACTCGTGACACTGCGTTTAGTTGTGGATTACCGAAAAATCAATGATGTGACTGTGAAGAACCGTTACCCAATCCCCCGCATAGCAGACTTGATTGATACACTCAGTCAAGCATCGATATTCACTAAGATCGATCTGCGATGGGGATACAATAATGTTCGCATCCGGAAGGGTGACGGATGGAAAACAGCTTTCATCACACATCGAGGGCTATATGAAGCCACAGTCATGTACTTCGGATTCTGCAACGCACCAGGAACTTTCCAAGCGATGATGAATGATGTACTCGATGATTTCATACGAGGAGGAAAAGTCATAGTCTACCTTGATGACATTCTCATCTGTTCGAATGATCTCAAGGAACATTGTAAGCTTACAAAGGAAGTCCTGAAGCGGCTGAGGGAGAACAATCTATTTGCCAAACCGGAAAAATGCTCCTTTGAAAAAAGCAGCATTGAGTACCTCGGCATGATGATCTCCAAAGGACATATCGAGATGGACCCGAAGAAACTTTCAGGAGTAGCCGAGTGGCCACGGCCTACTAAGGTCAAACAAGTCCAAGCTTTCTTAGGCTTTGCGAACTTCTATCGAAGATTCATCAAGGACTTTGCCAAGTACGCCAAACCACTCACTACGTTGACCAAGAAGGATCAACCATGGGTGTGGGATGTGGCGCAGGAAGAGGCATTTAATGCTCTGAAAGAGACCTTTACCTCAGCACCCATCCTTCGAATCCCGGATGCAACGTCCCCATTTAGACTTGAGACTGACGCCAGCAACTTCGCAACCGGCGCAGTTCTCTCTCAATTGGACCCAACTGACAAGTTGTGGCACCCAGTTGCCTTTTACTCGAAGTCACTTGATGTTCATCAGCGGAACTACGAGATATATGACAAAGAGATGCTTGCTATCATTCGAGCACTCGAGGAGTATAGGCATTATTTGGAGGGACATCCGGACAAATTCGAGATCTGGTCGGATCATCTTAATCTGACTTACTTCAAGACCGCCCAGAAGTTGACCAGGAGACAAGCGAGATGGGCTCTGTACCTCACGCGATTCAATTTTATTTTGCGCCATAAGCCAGGAAAAACAATGCTTACCGCTGACCCTCTGTCCAGGAGGCCAGACCATGAGGAGGGGGTGAACCTCGATAATCGGGATCAAACTTTGTTGAACCGGAGTTTTTT